GCTTTCAATTAATAAATTGATTTGTCTGCTTCATGATGGGTCTTTGTTTTACATTTTAAAATCTCTAGCATGGACACCTTTTCTTTTGGCAGCTTTCCAAAATATGTTCTTTTATTCTTAGTTCCAAAGCACCCAGGAAATCATCAATGATGTCTCTAACAGTCCTCTCAGAACTAAGTAAAGGACAAATATCATGGTTAATATTATAAAACTCTTTTTTTTTTTTTTTTGAGACGGAGTCTCGCTCTGTCTATAAAACTCTTTTATTATGATTGTTTGACAGAGAGATGATATAACCTTTAGGGGCTAAACTGTTTCTCAGATTAAAATTAAAGCAAATGATGGTTTCTTCTAAGAATAAAATAAAGATGAGTTTTACGAACATAAATAATGAATACATGAGAAGGTGAAAGCGCCCTGTAATCAGGGGAGGGGTTATGTATAGAGGGACGGTCAGAGAGATAGGGCACATGAAATTACTTGACAATGTAAGACACTGAGTTTACATTTTGACAGATTGTTTCACTGTGGGAGCATTAACATGACTGCATCAAAAATAAATGTCTCAGAATCTCAGCATCGGGAGATTGCTGTGGGAATGCAAAAGGGCTGAACCTGCCCCATCTGAAATGTGGGTTTATTGTTCAATGGTGATCTCCTTTAATAAAACTGAATCAGATGAATAAACAAACCTGCTAACCAGATTATATATATTTGAGAAAATACGCAGTTCTGCTTTGTGAGGCATCAAAATATGTAGCACAATATATCAGCAACTTTTCACATTTTTTTTTTTTTTTTGCCAGAGTGATGTCAACACAATCTCTCAAATTAACATTTTTATCTGTCAACCATTGTGGCTGAACATGGTTACCATGTCAGCAGGAGTAGAGAGAGAGGGAAGAGTGAAAGAAGGGGAAAGGATAGAAGCATTTGCAGTTTATAAGTACTCGAGTTCAAAAAGTATTAAATTCTGGCCATTTGTGACAGCCTTATGACACCTAACATGTAATCCTACCCTGAAAAATTACTCCAACTTTCATTAATCATGATGAAGAAAGGAATAAAACCAATTAGCAAAACAGACTCCTCCACTCTAAGTGGCCTAGGCGTTATTATTTGAAATATTTAGAGCCAGACTCAGCAAAGTGCAAAACAATTCTCAGTATGAAACAAATCTGTGCCAGTAGGGGGTGAGTAAGAAGATCAAATGGTTGGGCCTCCTCTCCTTCCTGATCTGGCTCTTGGGATCCCTGAAGCTGTTCTGCTGTAAAATTAAATTAGTACTTTTGGGTAGGAAAAAGGTTGGGTTAGAGTTTTTCTTTATGATAAATTACTTTAGGGGATTTGCTCTGTGAGAAAGCTTAATTATTTTTTCCATAAAAAATTCTCTCTAGCATTCTGGCTCCAGGGAGAGATCTTAAAAAAGGAGGGAGACTTTGTGGAAGATCATATAGAAGGTCCCTCAAATATATGTAATGAATATGGAATAGCTGAGCAAAGAACACCCTTTTCCCTCGCAGCTAAAAAGTAAAGATTTTCTTTTTACTTAAACGAACAACTAATGATATGCCATGGTTAAAATCCTTTATTGTGCTAACTCATCACCATACCCTGCCTTTCATGGACATATATACACAATTCAGCAGTGTCTGCATCTTTTCTCATTCTCTAAAAACCACAGGTGACAATAGTGAGGCAACGTAGTGTTGAGGAAAGGACTGGGCACAGGTCTAGGTTTTGGCATTTATTGGCTGGCAAATGAACGCGAGGGAGCAAACCTCTTGAGTCTCAGTTCTACATGTCTAAAAATGGAGATAACAATGTTTACTTCGGAGGTCTCTTTTGTGAAGAATAAATGAGATAACGTTATGTAAGAGAGGTTGATAAACTATAAATGCAAGTTAATTATTATTGCAGGGCAGGAAATCGAAATAATAATGTAAACATAGTTCTTTTTAGGTGAGTGGCGTTAGAAACAGTTTACAAAAGAAATCCTTGAATGGCATGGATTCCAGGGATGAAGAAACCGTCTAAGAGTGCTTAAACACAATTCCAAATATTGTAAACGCCCCTCCCCACAACGATAAATATCTACTTTGCTTTTAGGATACAAGCTTTTTAAAAGCCATCTTTTTCATTAAATCTAAACTTTAGGTAGAGACAAAATTTCAAGATTCAGGCCCAGTTTTAAAAATTCTTTTAAAAATATATGTTTAGTCCTCTTCTTCCTTCTCTCCATCCATCAAATATTGTCAGCAGATCCTGTGCCAGATACTATGTTTAGAAAAGAGTATAGGAGAAAGAACATTGAATTGGCAGCAAAATTACTTCAGTCTGAGTTTCAAATCCTTTGTTCTCCCTGTACCCTCCCTTTCCTGCCCACTTTTTCCACTCACCCCGTCTCTTTACTGAACCAATTCTTCGCCTTCCAGGACCACCTCAAGCTCTTTCTCCTCCAGCGAAGTAATCAATGGTGACTCCAGCCCTTAGCAGTCTTTCCTTATTACACTTTTAAAACTTCTCATTTTGTACTTATCAGGTACTCCTTGAGTGATTAGTAGTATTTATTGTGTGCTTGAGTTTGCTCCATCCATCCACCCATGCAGCCACAAATACATATTTAAGCACAATTATGTGCCAGGTATCAAACTAGATGATAGATGTGCAATGTAGTCATGGTATCTACTCATGTGGATCTTAGATTCTAACTTATAGTCTCCTAAATTAGAATATTGCTCTGTGAAAATAGGGGCTGTGTCTCATTACTGAATCATAGAATTTGGAATCAAGATAAACAAGAAATGTCATCCTCTTCATCAATATGTACCCAATTTCTGTTTCAAGCCTTATTCCGCCAGGGTAGCAGAAACTAAATGTCAGTGAATTAAGAGATTTCTCCTTCTCCCCCTTCCTCCATTCTGTAGGGTTGTGTCAAAGTTCCAAAGAGTTTAACTAGAGCCAAAACTAGGGAGTAGAGTGGGAAAGGGGTGTATTTCAGATCCCTGCTGTCATCTGGCTACATGGGCATCTGCTAAAATAGCCTTTTCCCAATCAGCTGCTTGGTCAATTGACCTCATGCTGGGCTGGAGACATCTTTGTTCTTGGCCACATGACCCCAGAACATCAGGTACCTTTCTTTGCTGCTTCTGCATCACTTCTGGATCCAAAATGCTCATTCTGTGTCTCTTCTACTTCCAAGACATATTTGAAACTCACAGGCTCCTATGACCCTATCTGCCTAGACACACCAGGCAGCCATTTATTTTTCTCTGCATCCTCCCTGGGATTCTATATGGAACTTGGTGAACAGATCTCTCTTTCTCTCTCTCTTTCTTTTTGTCTGTCTCTTTCTCTCTCATCAATGTTATTGAAGTATTATTGATAAGCAATAAACTATATATAGTATATTTTTCAACTTTTATTTTAGATTCAGGGGGTACATAGGCAGTTTTTTTACATGGGTGAATTGCATGTCACTGAGGTTTGGGCTATGAATGAGTCCATCACCCAGGTAGCGAGCATAGTACCCAAGAGATGTTTTTTCAACATTCTCCCTTCTCCCACCTCCTCGAGTAGTCCCAGTGTCTATTGTTTCCATCTTTATGTCCACGTGTACACAATGTTTAGCGGCCACTTATAAGTGAGAACATGCAGTGTTTGGTTTTCTGTTCCTGCATTAATTTGCTTAGGGTAATGGCCTCCAGCTGCACTGATATTGCTGCAAAGGACATGATTTTCTCCTATCTTATGGCTGCATAGTATTCCATGATATATATGTACCACGCTTTCTTTATCCAGTCTACCATTGATGGACATCTGCATTGATTCTATATCTTTGCTTTTGTAAATAATGCTGTGATGAGCATATGAGTGCAAGTGTGTTTTGGTAGAACAATTTATTTTCCTTTCGTTATATACGTAATATTGAGATTGTTGGGTTGAATGGCAGCTCTTCTTTAAGTTCTTTTAGACATCTCTAAACTGCTTCTCACAGTGGCTGAACTAATTTGTATTCCTGAAAACAGTGTATAAATGTTGCCTTTTCTCTGCAACCTCACCAACATCTGTTATTTTCTGACTTTTTAGTAATAGTCACTCATACTCATGTGAGATGGTATCTCATTGTGTTTTGATTTGCATTCTCTGGTGATTAGTGATGTTGAGCATTTAAAAAATATATTTATTGGCCACATGTATGTCTTCTTTTGAGAAATGTCTAATAAACTACATATATTTAAAGGTACAATTTGATATTTTCTGATGTATGTCTATACCCATGCAACTGTCACTACAATAAAGACAATGAACATATCCATTACCCACAAAGGGTTTCTTGTGCTCTAGTGTACTCCCTCAATATGTCCTCTTTTCCTTCTCTTCCTTTGGATCTCAGAAATTTCCTTTATTTGAACTAGGCTGAAAAGCCTGTATGGGGCCCTCTCTTTGGGAAACAACATTTTTATCTCTCCTTGGTTTTCCTCTGACTATACCACCTTGCTCAAGAGTAGGAAACCTCGAGGGGGGCATAAAAAGAGGAAGTGTTGGTTTTATTCATTATGTTTTCTCTCAAATCGGTGTTGGGTACTGTAAGAGCCCAGGTTATAGAAACACAGAAGTCAGAAAAGGACTATTTTTTTCTTTCTGCTCTTAGATCATTTCTCTGAGGCAATCATACACCATGTTTCAGATGCTTGCTTGACTGATTGAAGGGTGGGTGATATGGTTTGGCTTTGTGTCCCCACCCAAATCTCATATTGAATTGTCATTCCCAGATGTTGAGGGAGGGACCTGATGAGAGGTTACTGAATCATGGGGCAGTTTCCCCCATGCTATTCTCGAAATAGTGAGAGAGTTCTCATGAGAGCTGATGGTTTTAAAGTGTGACATATCCTTGCTCTTTCTTGCCTGCCACCATGCCTTGCTTCCCTTTCACTTTCTGCCAAGATTGTAAGTTTCCTGAGGTCTCTGCAGCCATGCAAAACTGTGAGTCAATTAAATGTCTTTCCTTTATAAATTAACCAGTCTTGGGTAGTATCTTTATAGGAGTGTGAAAACAGACTAATACAGTGGGTGAGTTAGGGAGGATAAAGGGAGAAGTGAAGTATTGGGGAGGGGAGACATCAGTGAATGTTTCAAAAATGTTCTTATGACATATAGCCATGAAAGATACTTTATTCTATCACACTTAAGAAACTGTACACACTAGATAAACAATAAATGACTGTTCAGTGACTGATCCCAATGACCTAGACATCCATAGGAGCTCAGCTGTGCAGGTAGTATTGTGCCCAATAGACGGTGCCACTATTGAGGTGAGAAGAATAAACCTGGGGAAAGAGGAAAATAGCTTTGAAAAATGTACAGTTTATGTGTTTGAATTTAAGAAACTTGGCTGTCTCATCACTCTTTGAGGATAATCAAACACAATAAAATGATTGGGTTGGAGAGGAAGAACTCTCAGGTACTCTTTTCTAAAATCAAATGATCCTATTATGCTAAGCATAACAGGCAAGTTCGATTATATGATCCCTCAAATTGCTAATTTCTTTTGTCTTGTTGTTATACTGAATGGATAAAGCATGTGTACATTTTAATATTGGTTGCAAGGAAGTATGTTCAATCTTTCTAGAAAGTAATTTATAGTAAATATTTATTGTAGTAGTGGAGAACTTACCACTTGAGAGGACTGGACAGAATCCTCTCTCTAGCAACAGCAGCAGTAATATTTATCAAGGGCTTTCTATCTTCCAGGCTCTGTCTTAGTTTACATGTATTAACTTATTTTTGCCTTGCAATAATCCTAGGAATTAGGTATTATTTCTTCTGTTGTAGAGATGAGGAACCGGAAGCATAAAAAGATTAGCCCAGATTACACAACTACTCTATGATCAGACTAGAATTCAAACCAGGTAGGTTCAAGCTTTTAACCACTATGTCTAATGAACATTATTATATCATTTAATACTCCTAGGACTGTGCCAATGAATTATTATCCCCTGATTTGCAGATGAAGAAATAGAGCCTCAGAGAGGATAAGGAATATACCTAAGAACATAAATCTCAATTTTAGTGGATTCAGGATTCCATATAGAGTATATCTGACTTTAAAAATTCATGCACTTAATCATGAAGCTATAACATCAAGAATGGTAAACTGTTAAAGCACTTTGACCTAGCAATTTAACTTTTCTATACTGCGGGAGTAATCAGAAATTTTGTTAAATTTGAATGTACAAAATATTACATACAAATTAAAATGTTTAAAGTATTCTAACTGATCATGGTTAAATAAACTGTACATTCATATAATATTTTGGAATTATTGAAATGATATTTACAGAAAGTTTTTAATAATATGAAGAGTATTCAGATTATAATGATAAATTCAAAGAAAACCAGGATATAAAATTAAATGATTATTTTGTTGCAAATGTTTTCAAAATTGAGCAGAGAAAAAAGAATGGAAGAAAATACATCAAAATGTTAATGATTAATAAAAATATTTGAATGGTTGGGTTATGGACAATTTTAATTTTATTCAGAATTTTTCATATCATAAAATTTTGTCTTAATAATGTGAAGATCAGTGTTGAGTTTTCCTTTTTAATATTTGCTTCGGTATAAATTTCTCACAAAAATGCAGTCGTTGAGAACAAATTTTGAAAAACATTTACTGTCAATACTCTCCTAGGAAGTATACCAAAATACAGCAAGTTATTTAAATTTGTCAGTACAGTATGTTTAGTAGTTGAGTATAATTCTTCCTGTGAGGATCTCCTTGTGGAAGCAAATTAAATTTGGTATGTAACCTCTGCACTTTAATAACATTTGATCTACAGCTGACCAAATAGAAAGTGCAATCTCTTGTTTAGAGACAAAAGTTGAATTCTACCCTGTATCAATTATACATATACATTTACTTCACCAAGTCCTATAGATGATGGGTCTTGCTTTAAACCCTAGTGATTGATGAAAGCAGACAAACAACTTTCAGATTTCCTGTGTGAGTTAGAAGCATTGCCACCCCTTGTCCTGGATCCCCAGCCTGAGTTACAGAATGAAATTATAGGGAAACAGTCCAAATTCCCAAACCGACTGAAATGACTGAATTTCTGTTTATGTGTTTACATTCATTTAGTGATTTTGGGCAGGTCACTTGCTTTTGAGAGTTTAACACAAACACAAGATTTGTTTGAAGAATATGACTATGGAGAACAATGTATTCACAGAATTGGGCACTTTGAGGTTGGAATTGGGAAGAAAGTGTTTAGTACAAAGGTCAAGACAGAATAATTACTTTCTGTCCTGAATGGGCCTGGAGAGAGATATTGCTAGAGGAATGATCTGTGAGAAAGCAGATGAAGTGACTGAGAATGGCAGGAGGCAGAGGGAGGCCAGAGGAAGGCCCAGTGGCACCTCTGCTACCTGTATAATTATGACATTAAATTTCAGTCAGTCTACAGCACACTTCCTAAAATTAAAACAAAGTTTTTGATGACTGTTTTCAGAAATGAATCATACAGCATCTGGGGAAGTGCCTCTAGGGGTTCTACACAAATCCTCTATTAGTCATGAGCAATAGGCTGAGTTATAAAACCACATCTGGAGAATTACATTTCAAAAGACTCATCCTTTTACCTTTTATGTTACCAGGTGCTGAGCCAGGTGTTCTACATAAATTATCTCATTTGTTTTTTCTGACAACATAATAAGGTAAGTATTATAAATCCCATTTTAAAGATGGGGGAACAAAGACTCAAACAGTTCAATCAGTTGCTCAGTGTCACTCGACTCACACTGGGATTTGACAGGCGATCTGCTCAACTCCAGCGTCCTCCAGTGTCCTTGCCGTCCTCCCATATCCCTCACAGGAAGGCAGCCTTGGTATTTAAAGGCGCACAGAACACGAAAGGCACGTGACCATGAGCTCACAGAAGGTAGTGATTGTATGGCCAGGAAATAGAGGACATGAAGTAGATCTATGCAGTAGGATCTATTTATAGTGATATTACACAACAAATAGGTGATAATACATGACGGACATGTTTGGGGATGAAGCTATTTGGAAATAACAACACAGAAGAATTTAGTAGGTTGGAAAGAAGTCCAGATACTACCAGGTAAATACGCAGATCTAGGAAAATTACAGACGTGGTTTAAGGACCTTATTACAGGCCTAATACCTTCTGATGGATGCAGTTTCAAGTGCATGCAGGTTTAAAATAATTTACGTTTGATTACTTATGGATGGAAGTAAGTTTTGGGGAGGCAAAATGTATTTTGTTTCCTCTTGGGAGCCTTGTGCACTCTATCAAACAGCCTAAATTAAAATAATTGTACTGGCCTGTGTGTGTTGATAAAATTACTATTTAAAGCAAACAAGCGCCTTCAATTTTTCAGAAGAGGAGGGAATTAGAGATAGAAAATCGGTAAGCTGTGACACCTGCACAGAATCCTTGTTTGAAATTCAGAAAGGGAATGAGCTACGTAAAAACTTGGTTTTTAAATTTTTTTTTAGAAAGAGATATGAGATGTTACTGCTGTAGTCTAAATGAACAGAACAGGAAATGTAATGAATTAACTAAATAATTTCCATATAGTCTAGTTTCCAGGAAGAAAAGAGACATTTAATTGGGATGTGCATAGTAAGGTGATTCAGACAGATGGGTATAGGAATGTAAGACAATGTAGACCAAAGATGACTCCTGTTTGGAGCTCCAAACTAGCTTGGCAGAGACAGACAGGAACATTAGGGGCTCTTAGCTAGCACTAGGTATAAATAGGAAAGTCAGTTACTTGCTACTCTTGAGAAGGGAATACTGAGGTCCTTGGGCTGTTGATGAGAAAGGCTGAGGCTGAGTATACAGAGTTCCGATGCAGCCTACACTATTAACCTACCGTCTGGAGAATGGAACCTGGAAAGTACTCTGTGATTAGCAGCCTGTGCCAGGTGGTCCAGGCCATCAGAGGTGTATCAGTCAGAAACAACTCCAGCTAGTTAAGAGAAAGGATTAATTACAGTAATTATAATCACTAAATTGATTATAGAATCAGTGGGAAAATAGAGGAAACAGAAAATTAAGCTTTCAGAGACCACTTTGAATGTATATCACGGAACTAGGCTATCAAAAGAGCTACTGCCTTTCCTATCAGCAGTACAGGTGTCATGATCAGGGAACAGCCATGATCTGGAAGACCAAGAGAAGCCATGGAGGTACAGCCTCATTCTCAGTTGCACCTTTCAGTTATTGTACAAGTGCTGGGGGAACTTCATCATGTCTGGAGTCCTAGCCCAAGGCATGTACTCTGACTGCAGAAAAGTGCACCAAAAGGAGGTTGCATGGGTCATGGGCTCGTTTACCACACCCAGCACAAGAAGCATTGTGTGTTTGGAGGGACAGTGCCTGCTGTGGGCCAGATAACTACTGGAGATGATGTTTCTTGTCTGTCACTCTTTGTGTTTTATTTTTTCTTGAAGGAAAATTCTCCACATAAAACATAGTCAAAAAACAAAAATAACTATATTTTATGTTTTACAGTGTATATAGCTAAACAATTACATTTTCCTCATTTTCTTGGAAGAAAGTATTTTGATATTGTGTTACCTTTAGGGAGAGTTACAGAAAGTGTAGGGCCAACTGTTTATTTTTCCTTTATAGGAATTAGTCTTCTACCCCAAATGCTATATTCCTCTTGAATAATACTCTAGATGTTGCTGTCCAAAGAGAATGTGTTCTGACCAAGGTCATGGAAACAGAGCCACTCAGGAACTGTTATTTTACTAGTTTTATTATTATTTTTTAACACAGAGTCTCACTCTGTCACCCAGACTGGAGGCAGTGGTGTGATCTCGGCTCACTGCAACCTCCGCTCCTGGGTTCAAGTGATTCTGCTGCCTCAGCCTCCCATGTAGCTGGGATTACAGGCGTGTACCATCATGCCCAGCTAATTTTTGCATTTTTAGTAGAGATGGGGTTCTGCCATGTTGGCCAGGCTAGTCTGGAACTCCTGACCTCAGATGATCCACCCACCCTGATCTCCTAAATTGCTGGGATTATAGGCATGAGTCACTGTGCCCAGCCAGCTGTGATGTTTTAGTAAAGGGAGGGGTGTTTTTGATGTAACCAGTCAGTTTTTCATTTTACATAGTTTCTACTTCTTCCTGGAAAATTCTAAGGTACTAAGGTTGCAGGTGTTACTTGAAATATGTTTAAATGTGCAGAAAAACATGTAAACATGTATATTCTTTCTTTTGTTTTTCTGAACCCTTGCCCATGGGGAGAAATCTTAAGTACTCCCTCATACATTTTGAAGTTAATATCTACATTTTAAAAAATCATAATTTTATATTGTTGCAAAAGATGTACTTTTGGTTATAATTACTGATATTTTAAAAGAAAACTGTTACGTCACTCAAACATATCCAATAGAATCAAAAGTAGAAAAAAGGTATACATTTAGAACAATTCTATGGAATTATCAAATGGTTTCAGATAATACTCAGAATCTCAGGTTTATGAAATTTCTGTGCTTCTCTGCCCACGCCCTTGCTGAGATGTTGCTGGTTGGGTTGTGTGTGTGTAGGAGGGAGAGGATTCAGTCAAGCTCCTGGCAGAGGGGAGGAGTCACTTCCCAGAGGACCAGTTGGTGAGACCGGGAGAGATAGCCCCACCCACTGCAGATATCTAACCTACCTTCCTCTGTAGAGTAACAACAGTGCCAGAGACAGGGAAGTCGGGATATGGCTGGCTGTTTCACATTCTTTGCATGTTCAAAAGAGGAAGATTTTTCTTTTTTTCCTCTGTGGTATCCTTCTACCACAGAGCTCTATGTTTCATAGCTTGGCTGTCATAATCTTCTGTCTTCTGGTAGTCTTCAAATTCTTTTATTTGAATAACCTCAAAATGATTTTCAAAATCGGTAAACCTCATCATAAATTTTCAAGTTATTATCTACAATTTATCATTCTAACTTTAATAGTTACAAAGAATGTAATTTCTGGAGTATGGTAAGTACTGATATTTTTAAAGAAACTGTTAAAACGCTTTTTAAAATGTGTCCAGTAGAATCTAAATATGATTGTAATTTGACCTGCTATTATCCAATTATAAAAGAAGAGCAAGTTCTTCGTTGACAATAATTTTACATTGTTTCTTTTTCTTCTAAAATTTATATTTTCATTCAATTTCTCTCCTAAGATTCTACCATACTCTTTAGGATAAAAATGAATCCAGGAATGAATAGGATAAAACATCCTATTATAATATTATTAATATGTGTTATTATGGGCATATACTTCTATGCATAACATTTTATTTCTAATCAAATATGTAAATTGAAATTTATTTTATTTCTTATAGCTTTAAGTCTCATTTCACTGTCTGGTTTTGGTATCCGTGTAATACCGCCCTCATAGAATGAGTTGGGAAGTGATTCCTCCTATGCTATTTTTTGGAAGTAGACCATTAACTTTTAATACAATTATTGAAATGACAGGATTTAAGTCTACTATTTTATTTGTTCTCTATCCCCTGAATTTTCTGTTTTTCAGCTATTTTCCCCCACCCCACTTCTTCCTACCTTCTTATGGATTATTTGAACATTGAATTTTTGGCTATACATCTTCGTATTATTTTTCAGTGATTGCTTTAGGTGTTACAATATAAATACCTAACTTTTCATAGTCTAATATGGCTAATATTATACCACTTTATGTTAAATATAGAAAACTTGCAACCATATAGCTCTTTAACCTGTTTGTCCTTCATGGTAAAATATCATATAACATCTCCATACATTGAAAATCCAGAACAGAGTGTTATAATTTTTGCTTTCAGCAGAACTTAAAAGAAAAATGTAATCATTTAATTTATGCACATATTTATCGTTTCTGTTGTTCTTTATTTCTAAAGAGTCCAATAATCTTGTGGTATTATTCTCCTTCAATTTGAAGAATCTTATTCTATCATTTCTTGTAGATAATATCTGCTGTGGATAGATTTCATTAGGTTTTTTTCCGTTCATTTGAGAATGTCATCCTTTCTCCATTTTTGACGGACATTTTTACAGAATATGGAATTCTAGGTTGACTTTTATCCAGCAGTTTAAAGATGTTTTCCCACTGTATTCTGGCCCCCAATTCTTTCTGATGAGAAACCCAGGGTAATTAAAATCATCATTCCATTGTGTGTCATAGTTTTTTTTTTCTGTAGCTACTTTCAAGATTTTTTCTTTATGTTTGATGTTCAAAATTTAGATTATAATGAATCCAGGAATGGTTTTTATTTTTGAGGTTATCTTGTTTGGCAGTAGTTAAGAACTGCGAAGGGTCTGAGATTCTACCTTACCTGCAAGCTAACTATTTCATGGATGCTGGTAGAAGATATAATACTCCTGGGTAAGAGACAAAGGACTTTATTATTCATGGCACTGCAGGCAGCCTGAGCGTCATATACTCATTGGTTTACCTGCCTCCAAAGTCCCATAGTGTGATATGGAGTAGCCCAGGAAAATGCTGTATGTGTAGTAGATTTGAATTATAGCTGAGGAAAGCCTGAAAATTTAGAGGGTATGATAACAGACATACCCAACTTTTGCCTGAAAAAAGACATTGTCTTTTTTTTTTTAAATTTTATTTTATTATTATATTTTGAGTTCTAGGGTACATGTGCATAACGTGCAGGTTTGTTACATATGTATACTTGTGCCATGTT